ACTGAGTTACGCAAGCCCCTTCGCCACGACAAGGCAGTGATCCATGAAGGGGTGCATAATGATATCATCATCCAACTGACATAAATCACCATGAAAACATATTTTCTAATTAAACAGACAGTTGGGAATAACAGATATCACCTCCTCCCAATTAGTTCATTAAATTGAGGTTTCACTTGTACAGAAGCATAAATTAGCTATTGTGGATATATTGTGGCCTTGACAAGATGTTGAGAAGTGTACAACTTTTGTTCAGTTAATAAGTAGATATTTATTTTATGTTAGTCATAAGAAGACAGACAAACCAGAACAATATTTTCTAAACATGGATACCGAGTTTAGTTGAGTAAAGGGTACAAAGGTTTCCATTCTTCCTGGGTATTTAACTTACCATGTTTTGTTGCTTGTGATCAGCATTTAAGTTTGTTCTACAATTGTAACCCAAATTTCTGCCTTTTGTTTCTCATTCAATAGACTAGTTTGCTTTTGGAGAGAATTCCGACGCCTGTAGCTGGGGCAGACAACGTTTCTTCAGTAAACCAAGAATCTCAGAGTTTGTAAGTGGCTTTCATACATGCATGGGGGGGGGGGGAATCTGCTGATATGTAATTAGGATAACATTTAAAAATTGATATTGTTGCTTAGAAAGGCTTTTTGTTGTAAATTGTTGTTACTGTTGCTACAGGGATGGAGGTACTGCATGGAGTAGTACAAGTGTCCCAGATACTTTTTCTCTTGCTTAATTATCCTCATATGTAATACTTTTTCTGGTTTCCTCATCTTTAGCTTTGGTGCAGCTCTCATTTCTCTTCTTCAGTTATTTTGCTGGTGCAGCTTCTATTAGTTTGGTTTTCAGCTCTCCTCTCACCTTTTCAGTTATGACTTTTGCTTTTTCTCACTTTTTCTTCATCTCTCAGTGAGAATTCAATTTAGTCCCTCTCTTTTTTAATGTCATCATCATTGCTCTTGGTTCTTCCTGCTTCTCCTTCTTACCACACGCAGGCAGAAACCTACCCAGTGGCTTTCTGTTTCTGCTACGCAAAACCTGAAGGCTGAGCTATGCAGTGGACGTTTTCAATTATTTAGGGAAGAACAGGGCCAAATGTGACTCGTCTTTTTTGTGGGTGATGCTGCTTTGCTTACACAATGATCAGCACTTGCGCTGTGATGATGATCATTTATTTATTTTTATCCGTGTGGCTTCAGTGTTTTCTGGAACTCATGAATTTTATGTGTGAATTCATGGGAGCCTAGAAATTACTGTAAACACTGCTAATCAGTGTTGATTAGCAGTGGTTTTCAAGGATTCTAAATGAGTTTTTCCAGCCATACTTGGAGGAGGAGGAGGAGATGATGATGATGATGATGATGATGATGATGATAAAGTTTATACCCCAACTTTATGCTTATCTAAGCATTCAAAGTGGCCAGGAAGATGCCAGGGTTTGAGTCCTGCCCCCCCCCCACCCCTTTGTCTGTTCCCATATTTCTACAAGTGTATATAATTTTCTTACAATGACATTAGCAAACACTGAAACCACCTATGCATTCTACTACATTTTTCTATGATTCCGTTCCATGTATGATATATTTGCCAAGGTAGTGATCTGTATTTTAGATCAATATGAAATATGGCTGGTTCTTTCCATAGGTGCTTAAATAATAGTAACTGCTGCTTTTTAAAATTTTTGTACTGTCAGCTTTGTAAGTATTTATAAAATGTGAACATCAGATTGCTGCCAAATTACAGGAGAGCAATTATTTTATTTTTTAGTATCTTATATAAAATGTTGGTTCCAAGAAAAAAATTATATAAATGTACAGTTTAATTTTTTTAAATTATGCATTGCTACTCGTCTTTAGCTTTTGAACACTACAAAAAGCACGTTCAGTGCTTTGTTTAAAACAGCTTTGCTGCCCATATAATGCCCTCCATGCTTTCAAAATAATAACATTTGCAGGGTGAATTTTGCCTATTGAAGGTCAAACCAATCCTCTCGTCTGGGTTTTCTGGCAGATCTATTTCTGGATCAATGTTTTTCTTTGGATCATAATAACTCATGTCTTTTCTGTATAGTACGTAATGAGAAAAAGAAAAAAATCATGAATCTTACCTGTTTGTGTTTGCTTTTAATAATAATTCAGAGTTATGAGGAATGAGCTGTATGCTTGTAATTGCTCTTCCATCATCCTTCCTTATAAGAAGCAAACAATTCAGGTGACTTCATCCATTGTTTGTTTAGCATTATATGTGAATCAGGGACTGATTTATTCTTCTCTCAGTAATTCAGAATCATAAAACATTATTTGTTTTTGGCATATGATTTTGCTTTGTTAGGAGCAAAACAAACTAGAGTTCCCAGTTAACACATATAATGAAAACAAACCACAAAGGAAGCCATCCAAACTACATTTTTTTGGACCTACCAGCAGGAGGAACCCAGCAGCAGCAGAGAAACACTTGGAGAAGGATGGGGCTCATTCATAATGAAAGTACAATTCTAAATTCTGGCTTATCAATGCATGTGAATGCATACAATATAATACAAGTAGTTTGTGGAGATATAACATGTGCTTGTATCTGTAGTGGTGGAGGACTGTAGTGGGCAACGCTATGCCATAAGAATGTCACATGAATAAGCAGAGCCAGAATTTTCTAAGGTTTTGTTTGTTTGTTTTTTTAAGTGCCTTAAGCCTATCCAATGGATCATGCCCCATCTTTTTCTTTCGTTTTTTTCCTGGTGATAATTAAACATTGGTGAATTATGCTGAAATATTGAGATTCAGTCACGGGATGGGCCAAAAAGCATTGGGACTACGTGCAGGGCACAGGTGGCTTTAACTTGTAGTTTACTTTATAGTGCTTCATAGTTTGAGTTTTGTCTTTAGCATAAAATTTCTATGCAAGTTTCAGTCTAACTAGCCAGGACCAAGATCTTGTGGCCCTGACTGAAAGTATATTAACTGTAAGTTTTATACTCCAGCTTTCCGTAATAGTATATAAGAGGCTGTAAGCTATACTCAGAAGTTGAAAAAAACATTGCAGAAGAAGACATGGACAAACCCCTTCCATATAGTTGCCTAGAAAACTGCCTGGAATCAGTCATATAATCATCAGAAGTCAAACTCAACTCTACAGAGTTTTATCTCTATTGCACTGCAAAAGATGGCTCTAGATTTGCAGATTGTAGGTTGCTTTAGGTCTACGCTGGCTCAAGAATATAATTCTCTGCAAATTTAGAAGCAAATTCCATAGATTACGTGGACTGTTAATGTGAGAAATCAGAGTTGAGAGATTGGTACTATGAGCACAAGTGTTTCTTAATTGTCTTCATTGTTATTCGGTAATAATAGAAGGAAGCTGTGGGCCCATACCAGTCTCATCTAAATTATACCTATCTGAGAATTGACGCTAGTGGTTCATTTCTCACACTGGATTATACCTATCATCATGCTTTGTAACTATCCTTCTTTCTGGAACCTCTTTTTCTTGAATAATGAAACAGAGATCAAATAATAATAACAACAACAAACAACAACCCAGAGCTTCTTTTGAATATAGAAATGAACACTGTTTTTAAAAGATCCTGCTTTCTTTTCACCATTCAAAGTACAGGTAACCCTAAACATTTCAGATGCCCAAAACATTTTTTATTTCAATTACTCCTGGGCACTTAACATCTTTGAGAGAGGTCTTGCTCCTTGTGATCAAATTTGCAGATTGCTGCTTGCCAGGGACAAGAAAGTAGATTAATCCTTCTCTGTGGATTAATCTAATCTCGAGTAGATCAGCTATAATACTCATGAGTTCTAGACCTCTTTTTCAAAATCAAGTATTAAGTAGGCCCTCGTTAATGTTTACTTTTATTGGATTTTTAAAAAATATTTTAATTCTAGGATTTAGGATTTTTTAAAGCATTGTCAGATTCTTTTCAATGAGAAGTGGTATAGAGATCTTTTTCATAACCATAAATAAAATTTCTGATTTGAAGACATGGGGACTTTTGTTGCTGTGCATTAGAGAAAAAAATGTGCTTAGCAGAGTTAATAGCCAAGCCTATTAGAGAATATTGGACCTTCAGGGGAGACAGCTGCAGTGTAGGTAGAGGAAACATAGATATGCAGATGATTTTCCACATGGATTAATTGCAGTCAGATGGTGGGTTGGGCAATGTAGGCAATATGGAAGGGAAACATTTTCATAACAAACATTATGTGTTAACAGAATAGCATATGTCTTTGGTATTACAAAGGCATCCTTTGTGTAAGAAAAACAAAACAAAGCTTTACGTGGTGTTATCTTTTTTATGGGGGAAGAATTTGATTCATTTTGCTGTTTGTTCTACTTACAAAATTGTATTGATTGTTTTTCTCTCCCAGTATTGTACTAGAAGAAACATTGTTGGATGACTTGCTAAATTTTGCTGCCACACCGAAAGGTCTTCTCCTTTTACAGAACACAGGAACAGTCACTGAATGTGTAACTTTCATGTTCAACAGGTTCATGAAGAACCTTCAGGTTGGCATTATCATTTTTAAAAAAATAGTTAGAATGGAAACTCATAAAACAATGTTTTCACTTGTCCAAATAACTTGATTACTTGTACCATAACCTTTTCCTGTCAGAGCTATGTATTGGTCTCAGAATGCTACTTAGAGACTAATGATACATTTGATTATCAAATCCAAACAAACAAGATATGTATATATAAAAATCTACTACTAATTATTGTCTCATTTAAATTATGCTCATTCTGTGAAAATTATACATTTGGGGACTAATATATACTCTTGTTTGTGCCAGGCAAGTGGATGTGAAAAGTTTGGCTACGGAGTAATTGTTTCACAAGTAGCTGCAACTGCCCCTGGGGCTGTAGCTCTACAAAATTCGGGTAATTTTGTTTTGCTTGATATTCATTTTATTGTATATCATTGTAATTAAAGCTCAGTAGTGTAACTATGATTTCTGTCTACATCAGAACATCTCTCCCACATTGATAATTATATTCTATGTTTATTTATTTGATTATCCTTTGATTTTGTGCTAGTCCTGAGGATAGTTTATGGCTTTGTGTAGAGGAGGAGGAAAAGTACCACGAGGGAAGGGAACGAGTGAGTTCAGCAGCCCAAGAGACTGAGGAACATGAACCATGTCCTGTATATTTGCAATTTTAGGCAGCATTGCATTGAAACAGACAAAAGATTAGCGTATATAATTCATAGGTGCATGGGTATTATCCAGCTGGATATTTGTAATCAGGGATGTGCAAAAAACAGGGTTTCATGTATGGAACTTTCCAGTATGCCCTGGAATATAGACTTTTGCATATTTAATGTGATGTAAATTACTTTGTGGAAAGACAGTTTGGCGTAGTGGTTAAGGCATCAGGCTAGAAACCAGGAGGCTGTGAATTCTAGTCCTGCATTAGGCATGAAGCCAGCTGGGTGACCTTGAGCCAGTCACTTTCTCTCAGCCCTAGAAGGAAGCAGTGACAAACAACTTCTGAAAAACTTTGCCAAGAAAACTGCAGGGACTTGCCAGGTAGTCTCCAAGAATCAGACATGATTGAATGGATTAAAAAAAAAAAATCTGTACATGGAGAAGAAAATATGCTTGCTTACTTCGTGGGTATAATGGAATCTTCCCTGTCTTTGCTGATCCATTCTTGTGAGTTTGTGCTGTAGTGGAGAAAATAAACCTAACACACAAAATACACCTTCTCTCCCCCCTCCCGCCCCAGTCTTTTGGATATGACCAGGGTCAAACCCAGTTCATCTCTTTGCCTAATCCCATCAGACCCAAACTGAACCTCCCTGTCCCAGACAAAGCTTCCCTGCAATCCCATCTAAACCAAATAGAAGCTTCCTCACAAGTTGCAACACAGAGAAACCCCAACATTCCATCCTCTATCAGCTGATAACCTCCACATTCCATCTTGCCTAACAATAGGAGTAACCCCAGGTACACTGACAAAGACCTCCTCAGCTTTCCCAAACTGGCCAGCCAGTCAGATCTCCAGGATTTCCCGCCTTGTAGCCCTCAACTTCTACAAAAATTTTTGGTTCTCCATTGTTCAGGGTCCCTCTTGTAAAGCAGACACCCAACAAGTGTTGCAATAAATATGGTTCTTCTCCTCGGTGTTGTGCTCCTTCTTCAGACTGAATCCATGTCAGTCCTCCAGATGCTTCAGCAATTTTCAAGGAGAACAGGTTTTCCATTCTTCCAGCAATCTATGAGTATCTTTTGTGAATCGCTTACAACAAATAAAGGTTGGAAAGGAGCAAGCCACTGGTTAAAAGAGGATCTCTGTTTACTGTATATGTCTGGATGCAACAGCAACATGCTAACAGTGTCGGTCAGGGAAGGGTCTCATAAATTCTTATCAAGTATTGTGCATCCCCTCTTGTCCACTCACAGAAAGTATGGGATAATTATTATTTTTTCTTTAATATCACTTAGCTGTCTTGGAAAGGTATATAATTAAATAATTGTACATTAACTGATGGAAATCAAGTGCACGGCTTTTTTTTTTTTTCTCATGTGTGTCTGGACACAATGAGTTACTCAGAATCTGTAATGTTTATTTCTGTTAAACCAAGTGAAGGTTTATAAAAGTTTGCAAGATTTTGGCTCTCCCAGAACTCTTCTTCAGGGATAATGATTGAAGAAGAACATAGGAGAAAAAGTATGGTTAATGATTGCCTCATGTCTCATTATAGTCTTAAATGCAGTGAAGGAGAGTGCCTAGACAGGTAAACTGGGTCATATCAGATATATCAGTGGCATTTGACTGTACTAAAGACCGTCCCAGAATTTGCTGGAAAAAAAAGGCAAGCTAATAATAGCTGGTTTGGAAATATAAAATTCAGCGGTTACAGTTAAAACAGGTGCACTGATCTCTTGATAGATGAAAGAGAACAAAGAGCCAACTATTTAATAAGATACTGAATCTGCCAGAACAGTCACATGGAATTATAAGTAAAGTTACCATCTAGAATGTGGAGTGGATGGATGGGTGCATAAATCAATCAATCAACCAATCAATCAATCAGTTTCCACTAGACTGCCAAATATATACCAGAAAAAGGAGCTTTTACAAATAAAATTTTAAGAATCTAGTACTAAATTATGCATATTATGAAAGAAACATTGTGCTATTGTTTAAGGACTATAGTAGGACAATCAGAGTAACATTAATAATGGAAAATATTCTGTGATGACGATTAAGAAAATATTCCTGTCCAATATCTTTTCTTAGGATTTCTGCTGAGTTCCTTGGTTACATCAACATTATACAAGCACTCCTCCTATTGTCCTTCTTCCTGTATCTTCTAGTTATATCCCCAAAAGTCATGCATTTCCCCCAGAGTAAGCGATCAAGGGTGAAGAGGAACATTTTTTACCTGCTAGCAGATACAGTTCTTTTAGTAGATATATGTCATTATGAATAAACACTTTTTCCTAGGATTTATAAAGGCCCTTGTTACTGAGTTGTGGGGTGTTCTGGAGTGTGGAAGAGATGATGTCCGAATGACTCACCCCAGATCAACACCAGTAGATCCGATTGACCGAAGCTGTCAAAAGGTGAATTGATTTTTTTTTTCTTCTCTCCACATAAACTTCTGTGAATGTTAAGTCTGAATATATTACCATGTTTTCTTGAGGAAAGTTTTGGCTAGTTTGCCATTTTTTAAATATGATACTAGGACATCAAAAGAATAGCATAAGGTTACTAGTCCATGTATGAGTCTCATCTTATTATGGAACTCTTCATAAAACTGAAAAGCATATAGTCTAACTCCTTTCTAATTTTTGGGATTTTAATCTTTGTATGTTGCCCAGAGTCACTGTTGTGAGATGGGTGGCCATATAATTATTTAAATAAACAAATAACTCAAATAAATAACTCAAAAATAATCATTTCAGGGTTCATATTTTCAAAGTATAGCAGATTAAGGTGTAGAAACAAAATTGTTTCTAGAAGAGTTACGTGTAATCTCTTCAGGATGTTTTCAGCTTCAGTATGTATCAATCAATCCTGTTTTATTTTCACAGCCAGAGGCCATAATACCAAATGCATTTACTAACAACTACAAATAAAAACAATTATCCAGAATAAAAATGATTCCTATATAAAAGTCATGATCCTTTTTTGTTTTTACAATTATTCATCACTCAGCAAATAATACATTCTTTGTTAGAATGTAAACGAGTGTATTTTGCAAAATAACAATAAATGACTATTCCTGCGGTATAATGAAATTGCTGTTGCTTTGTGAAGCATCAAGTTCTTTCCTGCATTCTATTACACTTCTCTCTTTTTTTTCTTATGCAATATAGCAATAATTTCCTTCACTGATTTTTATTTGGCCAGCTTCTATGTTGAGTTAAGAATATGTGTGTTTTGCTTTGTATTGTTTTTAAATGGATTCTGCAAGCTGAGTAAAAAGAGTTTGGTCAATTTATTATGTTAGGCTATTCTGTAAGAATTGTAAGGGAGGGAGGTAGGGAAGGAAGAGAAGGAGGGAGGGGAAGAGAGACTGAAGGACAATACCATAGCCTCTTGGTGGCATCTGCCACCTAAGGAGCATATAAGTGTTGTATGATGCCAATTTTTGCCAGTGTTATTCCCACTACAGAAGAGCCTGTGCTGAAGATAACAGGTTTGTCCTTCAGAGTTAGTGCTCTTCAGCTGAGACAAGAGGTAGCTGGAGGCATCAACATTTAAACTTTTGGCAGCCTCTGATGTTGTTGTTCTTCCTCATTTGCTACCTAACAGTCAAGCTGGCTTTAATTACTTGATCCACCATCTATGCAACCTTTCCCTCTAATTGGTAAATTTAATTTTAGGGCCTGAACTTCAGAGTTTGGGAGATGCTCCTGACCTGGATTGGTTTACACTTCCTTTTAAGATTCAGGTTCACAGGTTAGAGGTTCTCTCAGACCCAATCTTGACACTAGATACGTGACATTGGTGGTAAAGAGGGCATTTATCACCAGTTGCATCTTTTTGTGGATGAGAGAGTCCCAGACTCAGTGATGCATACCCTGGTAACCTCAAAGAACCTGCAGTGTGTTCTTCACCGGGTAGCCCTTGAAGATTTATTTTTCTATTTACATTTTAAACAATTTATAAGGCCTCCCATCTCACCAAAGTGATTCTGAGCACCATGCAGAGTTAAAACCAATGCTTTAAACGATCCAGATAATAATTGTCCAAGGTCACAAAGAGCAAATTCCAACTTATAATAAGAACATCAGCCAGCAAAGGTCACTTAATCTCCCAGTGTTAAGGGAAGGTTAAAGGAAACCTCCCAAATGCCTGGGGGAAATAACCTGCCCTGTGACAGCAGGAGGGCTGAGTTGTGCTTCCAGGAGCAGTCTCATCACCCTGTATTGAAACAGCAGAACGCTTTCCAGGCTCACTTAAGTCTTATATGGCTTGGACCCAGATTACTTATAGGATTGCCTATGACCATACAGCCTGCCCATTCTTCTAACTCTTCAGTATGGTCTTGTTTGCAGGTCCACTGCCCTGCTGAACATTAACAGCTAATTCTGCCTTTTCTGTGACAGGCCTAGATTATTAAATAGCTTGCTGCTGGAGTTGAGGCTGGCTTTTCGGTTACAGTGAAGGAAATGATTTTTTACCCAGGCCTTTTAAAGTTTCTTTTAACCAGATTTTTATTTTTGTGTGTGGAGGGGGTGGGTTTATACTTTCATGCTTGTAAATCCCTTATATGGAGTGTCTGGTTTTTTTTAGTTGCACTGATTTCAGGAACTTATATTAATTTCAGGAAGTTATAGTTCTTGATGCGAGATTGGTATTGGATGGGATTCTTTCTACTCTGTTATCCATGGAAGGCAGCCTGTGAATAATCACCATTTGCTAGTCTTGCTCTCTATCAAAAGCTTCAAGACAAGCCTATAAGTCAAAACCGGTGTGATAAAATTTTAGATATTTTATACATTTTCCCAAAGTAAATGGTAATGACTTTGTAAAGGCTTTAAATAAATTGCCAATATTGTTGTCTTGTCTACCATATCATCATCCTCTTTAGTTTTTTCTAGCTCTGATAAATTTGCTGTCCTGCCCTGCTGTTTCTGAACTGATAGGTGATCAAGAGATACCTAATAAACCAGAGTATTCTCTTCGTGAAGGTCCTACAGATATTATTGTAAGTACTATTTTCTCTTATCCTCTTAAGAAGGTTTGTAGAGTGATTCTTTTGCAAGGAATGATAAAAATGTAAAGTTTGGATTTTCTACTAAGTTGGTAATAAATCTTGAATATGTTTTTGGCAGTTTTATTGCATGCAGCATGAGGGCAGTATATGCGCAGATTACTCCTGTGTGGATCTGTTTTCTTCCATAATCATGTTGTTGTTGTTTAGTCGTTAAGTCGTGTCCGACTCTTCGTGACCCCATGAACCATATTGCGCCAGGCCTTCCTGTGATTCCATAATCATAGCAAAAGTTTAATTTGCAAAAGCTACTTTCTTTTGTCTTCGTACAAATCTGCCACGTAAGTGGTAGATATGATTATGGAAAAAATATTATTTATATAATATAAATCATATATGTGAGGAAGCCTGCATAACTAAATAAAGACAATTTATAAGTAATTTCCAGCTAGAGTTAGAAATCCTTGGTTTCTCTTTCTTGGTCTTGACAGACCAAAAATTGAGATTTTACTTTCTGAAGTGTTAGGGAAGTGACTCTGCTTGGAACTTGTGCTTTGGTCATAGATAACTCAGCTAGAAAGGTCTTTCAGTTCTTCCTTCAAAAAAATATCAACTTCATTTCTCAACCTATTCTCAGAAGGGAATCTTTGTCCTTTTTCCATTGAAAAAGTACCTACATGGGGAAGGACTGTTTTGTCAAGCAGTTATTTGCTTTTATGTGTTGCATTTTTCAAAGGCCACTCTTGTAAATTGCCCTAATTATAAAAGGTATCTGCTTAACCTAGTTTATTCTGTTCTTTCTTTTGACTGGAAACATCATGATGCCATATTGACAGAGCTCTCAAGAGACTTAAATTGGGTTAGGTCTGTGATGAACCCTTACAGCAATCTGTGTGACTACAACTCAGTTATCTAATAGCTGGCCACTTCTTGAAAGACTGTCAAAGCTGATTAAGATGAAGGTTGTGGTGGTGGTGGTGGTGGTGGTGGTGATGATGAAGATGATAATAAGAATTTTAAAAATCAGAATTTATACTTAGTACTTTAGACAGTTAAAAGTGTACCCTATAATTTGTTTTGCTATAGTTCATACAATAGCAGAAAGATGATAAAACATGGATGTTGCTCTTGCCATCAACTCTGAAGCAGCAAGACAGAATCCAAGATGATATTTGGTCTGTGAATCTAATCTTTTCAAGGGCCTTGAAAGGCTACATATCTCCCCACCCAAGTCACGTGCCTCTGGAGACGTTTCTCTTTTTATTTTGTTATCAGTCTCACCTTGTGCTCCCTTATCAAAGTTATAACTCAGTTGAGATAATAGAAGAATATTGACTACTGTAGCTTGGATCAGACTATTTTATTTGCATGATAATTTCTGATCCACAGTTTGCATTTCTAAAACAATATCCAAAACTTGTGAATGAAAAGTAGGAAAAAACAAATAAATATAAGCAGATTTGTAAAAATAAGATTTGAAGATTTTTTTTTTAAAAAAAGGTCAACCAATTAGGTGGAATATCTTCTGGAACAGAAAATCCTTGGGTTGTGAATAAAGTAACAGGAAATTAAACAAAGCAAGTAAGAAAGAGAAATGTGCTATTATAAATATATTCAGACCAAGGTGTTAATTTAAAAAAGAGTCTCCCTTTATTTTCAAAGAAAGCCAGAATGATAGTGTTAACACTGTATTCAAATTCTAAATTGCTAAGCCTTCCCTCCTAAAGCCTGAGAAAAATAATTGGAAAAAAATCATTCCTTGTGGTACCCCACAATTCTGATATGACAGAACAAAAGTCCTTCACAATTTTATATATTGGACCAAATATGTGGCAAAGTCATTCTTCGTAGTCATCTCCTTTGTGCCTTCTACAATTAAAAATCTGAAATTATTTGAGCTTGTGTGCATGTGTGTTCATAGGTTGAAAATCTGTTTAGCCAATCTAAGAAATGCTGAAGGAAAAAAATCATATTACAGTACCACAGTAAATGCTTTCTGTAAACTCAGTAGCCTGTTCAAAGCATTGCAGGTATTTGGCTTACAAAGTATAAAGTATAAATAAATATACTTAAGTAAGTAAGTATATTTCTCTTTGCCAGTCATGGCGAATAAACTAGGTATTAATTAGGCAGATGAGAAATACAACCATTTTTGGACAAGATGAAGAATTAAAAAGTGATGTCAGCTCTCTTTTGGACAGCCACATTTATCCTTCATATCTCCCTATGAAGCTTTTGGAGGAAGATCATTGATAAATGAAAAACCTTGCTCTTATCAGCAGTCAAGGCTACAGGTGGTCACAGGGCTCAGCTATATTACTTGCAGATTTTGTGAGCCATTCTTCCATCCTGTGAATGTAAATTTATTTCAAAGCACACTTCTAGTATGTTGGTAAATTTCAGATATCTGCTGAATCTTAATACTGACGTGATCAGTGCTTCCCAAATCTTACCCTTTCTGGAAACAAGCAAGCTTCCATTTAGGAACTGATTTCCTTGTAGGGATTTTATTTTCTAATTATTCATTGAGGTTTTCCCTGATCTAATAATAAATATATTATTAAATACACGAAGTATCTGATATGTATATGGTTCCATTTCTCTAGCAGTTTGTTTTGCATAAGAGTTAGATGAAATGGGGAAAATAAGACAACAATTTACTGAACTCATTCTTGTTAATATAACAGCAGGTGCACGTGTGTGTATGTGTCAAAAAAGTATGGTAGTGGGTCCATGATCATATAATAGAAGGCTTGTCCCTCAGCTACCATCTTGCCTTTTTTCAACCTCCCCCCTAGATATGTCTCTGTATAAAAGTATGTTATAAGGCAATTCAGTATTTAAAGCCTAGAACATCTAAAGGTATTCTGATCAAGTATTCATATACTTTAAACAAAACTTTAGTGAGAATTCTTCAGTAATAATATAAAGGCTTTGCTGTTTTTCCTTTAAAAGACTAATAGCAACTGAAGTGATGATGATCAAAAGTTGGTAAAACCAGTTTTTGTATTTCAGGATATAATTGACAGGCTTATAGTTGTTAACTCTGAAGCTAAAATCCATTCATTATTCAACTACGAGCAGTCCCATACCTTTGGGCTGAGGTAAGGTGCTTTCTGGTCTGATTTATTTAACAAGGTATAATGTATAACTTGTTCACCTGTCTGTAACTTCTTATTACCAGTGCCAATTAAAATGAGTTCTTATGAATGTTAGCAAAGTAGGAAGGAAGATGGAGACAAGTAAAATAGCTCACATTGATATTTAGTATGCATTGAACTATGATACTCAGTATTTGGTAGCTAGAAATACACAGCTAGCAAGTATTCCTTTTTGGAGAGATCTCTTATCAGAGCCAAACTCTTCTGGGGCTTTTATAGTATCATGATCTGAAAATGGAATTCTGTACGATTGCCTTTTTCTTGTTTTATTATAAGTCACTTCCAGATTGTAGGTGTTTTGTTGGGTGTATTTCACAAATCCTGATGCACTAGCTTAACATGACATACCAATCATGCCGTATACTTGGAAGATCGATCGTAACATGTATCTCAGCTCCTTGCAGCTGATGTTAGTGTTGTTTAGGCCAGATGTTTTCTCTCATGGGCACATTTCTAAATCCTACTGATGCCTAAGATTTTCTGGTTAAGAGAAGGCTACACCTAACAGAACAATTTTTGTTTTGTTATGTTCATAACTGTTTGCCACTTTCTCTAGTTTAGGGTTCTTTTTTCTCTCCCGCCCCCCACTTCTGTGCAAATTCTTAGAATTAAAGATCACAGGAGGCATAAGTTCAGATACCTGGCAATGTTGTTTAGTCCCTGCAATTGTTTAGTGTATTTGTTGCAGGAAATCTTTATCTGCAGTATTATGAATGAGCATAGGAATATGCGTTTCCTCTTTCATAATGCTTGCCCTTTCCCCAAAGCTACCATTTTGAGGGATGGCTCTGCTTGGAAAAATTTGCAGGAGTTGTAGATCTCTGTTCGATAAGACTGCTGGGGAGTCTTAAAAAAATAGATTTCCCAATAGATTTCAGTTCAAAAGTCAGCAGTTTCCCAGTCTTTCTGACAGCAGTTCATTAACACTCTTGAGAATGTGCAGCATTCCCCCAAAGAAAGTAACTCAGCATGTTCTCAAGAAAATGTGCTAAAGTAATTGTCATTCAGTTATATATGCATGTCCTTTCTGAGCATAATGACAAGCCCCAAGTTAATTTTAGCTTTTGATTTGTACCTGAAGTGCCACAAGGCTTTCTCAGCGCATAAGGAATTTAAATTGGATTCTCTGTTTTGAAGATGCATTATCTGGATTAAAACCATTATTCTCTTCCAGTAATCTTACTACCTGTCAAGACTAGTTATTAATATAGTTGTTTTAGTTCATTTCCTATATTAGATATTTTATTGTTGGTCTTCATTGCCTCTCTTAGGAGAGAACACAGTATGGGGAGTTCCTGTAAGGAGCTGCAGACAGGTACTCTGGTTGTGCTCCCATGAGCTTGAAAGCACATTTTTGGAATTGAAACTGAACCACTGTGCGGCTTTAATAATCAGCCATCTTATTACCTCTATTTTTGTTTTATGTTTGTTGGAAATTATACTGCAGCCATTCTGGTTTTTATTTAAAAAACATAGCAAGTGCAATTTATTCCAGTTCCCCCATCTAAGTAAACTTTTAATTATATTTTATGGAACATCTTTTTCAATAGTTCTAGGAAGCTTTGCTTTCTTAATATACAACGTCCTAGAAAATTGGTATGTTGTCAGTTTTATTGACAACATACTAATGATCATGCAACATGCCAGACTTTAATGAAGAACATTCTATTAGTTTCTTGTTTGATTTGTCTGTAAACAGCATTTACAGATAAAATTATGCCTCTGAGTGCAAGAAACCAAGAATGAAATAGAGCACCTATCACTCATAGTCTAAGATATTCAGTGGTTTTTAACGAACGATTAAAAGCAAAATTCAGAGAGAAGTTAACAAAAACTGATTTAGAATGATATAACAATTAGAAATTGTTATCAACAATTTTCTTTGGATTTAAATTAGACTAGTGATTTAATTTGCATTTATTTATTTATATGTTTGTTTACAATTTTTGTAACCTACTCCAGTTCAAAGACCCTGTACAACATAACACACTTATATAAAACAACATATTAAAACTATTAATCCATGCCCAGATGAGCACCCATCAACTGTTAAGAGCATGGTGGGATAATGTTGTTTTAATTGCTTCATGGAATGCCAAGAGGGAAAGCCCTGCACAAACCACGGAGGGACACAAATTGTAACGCATGGGGGCCACTGTAGACTAGCCCTGCCATCTAGCCCATGCCTCACGTGGTTCTTGTGGGTGGGGGGAATCTCAGCTTAATGCCAATATTTATGTTTTATTTCTGGTACAATAGATTAAACTGTCAAAGGCATTATGGATATAAAAAGGCATTGGTGTACTTTTTAAAGATTGCATTGTTTTCTGAGTACATCATAACACTGTTTCCCCCCAAAAAAAACTGATTAGTTGTAAATAATTCAAGCTTTTCAGATTCAAAACATTATAAAATGACATGATCATAAATCATAAACCTATGAGGAATTCTGTTTGTTGCATAAATGTTTGCATGCATATTGAATGCCTAAGTATTGATTTTATTAATCTTACGGTATCACTCCTTGAGATATACCAACAAATGAGTGATTTTCCTGAAGTTCATGGAGAATAATTTTATGAACAAAGCATATAAAACTCATGAATATGTTGGCTGGACAAAAATAGTTACTTTTGTATTGCCTGTAGCAGCTTTGCGCTTTTATTTACACACACACACACACACAGATATAGATATATAAAATCTTCAAGTCAGACTTGATTCGTGGCAGTTACATGGGCAAGTCCATGCAGTTTCTAGGTAGCATTTTCAGAAGTGTTTTGCCATTTTTAGCAGCAGAAAAATGAGATGAAAAGTAGAGTCTATTGCTATTACTTTGATGGTTTCTTCTTCCACCTGCCCATGAAAATAAGTTCTTGGGAAAATAACACAGATAAGATCAAGCTCTGTGATAGACATGAAAGCTGTTTTTTTTTATTTATTTATTTTGGAAAAAGAAAAAACAAAGATTGCTTCTATATTAGTTTTTGTTTTTTGTTTTAAATCAGAATTGCCTTCCTTTCCTCGTCCATTTTTCTGAAAGAACATGGGTAACATAGTTAAAAATTGGTTCAATCTAGTGTTACTCAATTTCTTTTCCTCATCTGATTTGGATTGATTTTTAAAAATAGACTTGTAGCAGCACTTGATTACTGTAGTCTCACCGAGTTACTCATAACACTTGTACTTTTAATTAAAAGCTTTCTACTTGTGGGTTCTGCTCTTTTATGGTTTCCTATTCTGCATGGGAACAAGATTACAGATTAACATTTCGGAACTACTCCAATTCTGCTTAACTGCTCTTATTATTAGTTTCTTTTTTAATACATAAAGGAGCTGTGGTATTTGAAAAAATGATGGGAAGAGTCCACGTTTTTGTGGGAATAGAAACTGAAAATAGGTCCAGTTGATAATCTGCTTGCGAGAAAGCATCAAGAAACAGCCTGATTCAATGTGATTTTATTTTTTATTAGAATCAAATACCATGGAAGGATTTTGACTACAGAAGGCATTGTTGGCTTATGGCTATGGCTATAACACTTTAGTATATTGAGGACTTCTGGGAGATGAAGCAATAGAAGTGATGCCTAGAGTGTCAGTGGAGGAAAACAAAAAACGGATCTGACTGAGCCGGGGTCTTAGGAGCTATGCCATAGCAATAAGAGAGGCAAAACACCTTTACTTCTCTCTTACTGCATCAACAGGTTCTCTTCCAGTGTTTAGGGTAGCAAATTCCCCTTTTGGGAGTAGCCAGTATCAAGAACTCAGGCCTGGCTGCAGTGGCCAGTTAGCAGAGCACTTTGCTGACAAAGTTGCTCAGATTCACTCCAGTCTTGACTCAACACGGCCAGAGTACAGGGCAGGGACTGGGGCACTGTCTTGTCATGTTATCCTGAACTCCTGTGGCCCTATGCCCTCAGTTTAAGTGGATAGGATGCTTCTATGTCTTCTTTCACTTGTGGGCTGGATCCTTGCCCTTCCTGGCTTCTTCAGGCTGCTGGGAAGAGGTGGTTACCTGAATCTTGTTGTGGGAAGGGTTGTTGCTGGCAGTCTTGAAAGAAGCTGAGATGTGCCTCCTCCTTAAGAGGCTGTGATGGAATGTATCTACGAGGAGGAGAGTGATGTGGGAGATCAACGCTATCGGGAAGGAGGGGGTGCATTCCAGGAGGGAGGAGGAGGCAAGAGGCAGCATAGTCTGCAGGAGGAGCATGGGAAGTGAAAGAGATTCAGGATAGCCACTCCCTAGAATCTCACAGGATATTTCCATTAGTTGGTGTAGTATAGATTTAGTTTGGCAAGATTCTGTCTAGAAGGTGTAAGCTAATAAAGGAACTGGACTGGACTGCTTCATCGTTGTTCTTGGGCTGGGCCTAACAGAGGCCCTTCTTGGATCCAGAGGTGTTAGATAACTGCTGCCTGATCCCCAAGCTTTCCTTTTTAGGTAAGATTGTCAAGATGATGGTGGGAGACCAACTGAGAGGAAATAGATTATCTGATTCCTTTCCAGGCAGGGTTAAGTTCACTCTAATGGATAACCTTTGTCAAAACCTGGAGGAGGGAAGTGTGCTCATCCTTGTCCACTTAGACTTCTCAATGGCCTTTGATACTATCAACACAGCATCCTGCTGGACCATCTATGAGAGGTTGGGGCACTGTGCTGTAGTGGTTCCCCTTCTTCCTCAGTGGATGGTTCCATTCAGTGGTAGTTGGGAGAAGAGGTAGGCTCAGTGGCCACTCCCTTCTGAAGTGCCATTTTCTTCCTCTACTTTTTAATATTTACATGCAGCTGCTAGGGGAGGTCATTCAGTGGTTTGGGGTTTAATATTACCAGTATGCTGATGATATCTAGCTTTACATCATGACCTTGGGTTGTACTGGAGATGCCGTTGAAGTCTTATCCTGGTGTCTAGAAGTCAGAGCAGCCTAAAGCTGAACTTAAGCAAGATAAAGCTATTGTTTCCTTATTGAGGCAGTTTGTCTCCTCTAGTGTTACCCCTTGATTGGGAAGAACTACCACTGAAGAAGCAAGTCCATGACTTGGGAGGCCTCCTGGACTCAGAGCTCCTGTTTGAACAGCAAGTGGAGGCTGTGGCCAGGAGGGCCTTTGCCCAGCTTTAGCTGGTGCACCAGTTCTGGTCTTACCTCTGATCTTGCCACAGTGGCTAATGCCTTTATCACTATTCATCTGGACAATGGTAACATGCTAAACTTGGCACTGCCTTTAAAAACTACTCAGAAGCTGCAGATGATCCAGAACGCAACAATCCATGTAGTCATTAGTACCTGGCACCAAGAGCATATTACAACTATGCAATGGGACCTGCACTGGTTACCAGTAAGCTTCAGGGTGCAATTTAAAGCGCTAGTTTTAACCTGTAAAGTTTTCCAGTTGGCATTAGCTTAACTTCAGACTGCATTCTACAGCTAGAATCAGCTCAACCTATGTGATCTTTCTAGGAGAAGCAGCTCATAGTTCCCCTTTTTCAGGAGGTGGTGGGGGTGAGGTCAGGAGATGCTGTTTCTTGCAGCATTGGCCCTTTGGAATGGCCTTCTGGTTGAAACTGATTGGGTCCCTCCCTAACTACCTTCCGTAAGCAGCTTAAAACTGTTTTTTAAACTTGGCAACTTTAAGATGAGTGGACTTCAGTTCTGGGAGTTGGAGTCCACATACCTTAAAGTTGTCAAGTTTGAGAAACACGAGCTTAAAACAAAGCTCTTTCATAGAGCATTTGGGGACTGATGCTATTCATTGCTACTTTCCTGGTGTTTTTTTTTTACTTTTTTTTTTTTAAATATAATTTTTACAATCAACATTTTAATTTTATATGTCTATATCTGTAAACCACTGAGAGTCCTTAACTGGATTGCGGTGGGATGTAGATGTAAGAAATAAATACTCGAGGTGCCTTATATAAAATGTAATTAATCATCTTGGGAAAAGTAGGCTTTTCTTTCTGTTTTGGTGGGAACCGGGTCTTTGATGGAGTGGCTAGAGAAACTTAATAAATGAAAGGTTGAAAATGGTTGAAAATAATTGCATTAATGCATATCTTTGTGGGGAGAATCTGTGATGTATCCTTTGCCTGGAGCCTGTTCCAGTCAGTTGTGACATTTTAGAAGGATCCCAGGTAAGGACAATACAAAACTGTTGATCAGAATAGATGATAATGGCTATGTGGATGAATAACCTGACTTTGTACAAAGTTGATTTACATGTGATGTTTCTTCCAGCTCAAAATGCATGAGAAATGAATTTTGTATGTGCTTTACATATCAAGTGGGGATATTATGTTACTTCATGTATACAGAACAAGCTGAGTCTGAAATCTTACTGTTTATGCTTTAACATCTCTGCATTACCAAGACTTCTAACGTATGTTCTGTCATTCCCATATATTGTATCTTACAGGTTATTAAATGTGCTGTGCTGTGATCTAAATACACTTCTACTTTTAGAATCTCAGTATAAGATATCAGAAGTGCTTTTAGATGCCCAAAAAGAAAATGCCATCAGTATTTCTGAAACGTCTTGGTAAGGAATGATAATTTAAAATGTTGTGACTCTGAAACATAGTTCTCTGTATTCTTGGAACATCTGTGCACATATAGAGAGAGCCAGTTTGTGGAGTCCCTGGGGTTCTCTGAGCTGTTACGGTTACGGCTATGGTTGAAACTATTAACCTATTTTAATCTCACAACACATGGACAGACTTAACCATTGTTTCAGCTGGGAAACTGTCAGCATCTTAGACCAAGCTAAATCCAAAAATGCAAGGGAATTCTTCGAAGCTTGGTATTCAG